GATGAGCTGCGTGCATCGTTGGGCGCAGAACAATCGGTTTGTAAAGCAGTGTGGAGCGATGTGCTTTCCTTTGGGAGCCAAGTGATATGGGTGTAAATTGGCGGGCAGCGATGTGTGTGCGGGAGCAGCGGGACGATGCCCATGTCATTGGGAGGAGAGCGGTGTTTTGGGAGGCGCAGAGCGATGGCAGCCCCGTATGCAGAGCAATGGGTGCACCAGCATTGAGGAGAGACGTGTATGTCTGGGGGGTGCCCGATGATGCTGGTGCCAGGGAGCGTAAATCTAATTTGTTTTTCAGGGTGAGCTGTCTTTTTCTGGATCATAGAGCTATGTGTATGTTAGACACACACTGTGTGCATGTTTGCATATCCTTTAATGGTAAGCATGTTATGGAACTTTTAGGAAGTGAAGGATGTGTGTGCTGAACAAAGCAGAGTACCGAAACACTTCAATGAGCTGTGGAGAGGTCACTGTAATAAGTACCCCGTGTTGGGACTCCCGAGCACTTGGAAAGAGGCATCAGGTCTGCCTTCTGCTGCTTCTTGATGTGGGAGTGAATGTGCTGTGCAAGTCACTAGATCATAATTTGCCAGTTTCATTCTGTGTTTCTTCAGCTGACCTTGCACAAGCTGCGACAGCACAGCGAGAGGTGAAAATCTGCATTTCCGTGCTCCCGTTTGCCAAGCGCGGCGCTGCCCTCCCTGCCCTCCTTGCCCGAGGTTCACTGGGTGGTCAGACCTTCCCCAGGCCAGCCTTGGGAAGATGAGCTGGTCACGAAAGTGCCCAGCGCGATCAGGAGCTTGGTGACCGTGCTCTGCCCAAAGCCACGGCTTGTTCCGCCCTGGCCTCAGTGCTCTGCCCGTGCCGCCTCCCGGCTTCTCTCTGCTTCTGCCTGGCTTAGCGACTGAGATGTTGATTCCACACACCTTGTCTTGTGTGGATATTCCTTTCTAGAAGTACTGGTTTTGAGAGGGTTGCTTACTTTCTGTTTCTTAAATCTCTGCAAGAAGCCCTAGAACTGTCATACTTATGGCGCCCGAATTAACACTTAACGGGCTTCTGAGGTGTGTGTGGAAACAGAGGAGCTGTACACAGTCCCACAGGTGCACTCGTGTCCTGGAGCAGCTCCTTTCCCCAGCCACTGCACCCTGGTTAGCCTGTCCTGTCCAGGTGGGACAGCCGTGGGGCTGACAACAAACCTGACCATGCTTTTCCTCTTGGTGTCAGAGATAAGGACATACTCTGTGCCTCTGACTCCAACAATCATCACTAATTGATTGTCTGTGTTATCTTTAGCTTTCCAAGAGCAGTTTCATGCAGACTCTTAAGGTGAAAATACCTTGGCATGGGATGGGGAGAAAATTCTTCTTCTCGGTGACAGTATGAAGTGCTTTTATTTTTGCTTTTTTTTACTTTTTTTTTTTTTAGATGAAAATTATCTAAATTAAAACATTCTTCTTGATGGATTTTTGCAGATGGGTCATGTCTCTGCCACTGATTGCCTGTTAAAATCTTCTCCTTAATAGGCACTGATGGGAAAGATATTTTTGCATGGGGAAAAAAAGCTAAGTGCAATGTGAAAAGACAGTAACAGCTGCGATCACCACCAGAAGGCACGATTATAAACAAAAAGCAAAAAAAACCAACCAAAACCAACCAAAACTAAAAGAACCTCAGCACACAAATACCCACGAACAACAAAATCCGCTACAAAAAAAACCCCAAAAAATACCAACAGACAAACAAAACCTTGCCACCACAACAATAAAAAACCACACAATAGAAAACCAATCCCAAACTGACCCAGGCAGTATAAATCACTTTTTCTTTGGGAGTTACTTATCAAATTACATCTGGAAGAGACAGAACCATAAGAGCCCCTACAGTTAGTCTGACCTCTTTCTAGAAAAATATAGAAAAATATCCTGTGAAGAGCTATAAATGAGTAAGCTGAATGCATTGCTCACGGTGGATGTACCAACATGATATCAAGGGAATGGGGACGGCAAAGACAATGAAAAACATTTGCACTTTTCAGACAGGGATTTTAACACACTTTTGTTCTTGTAAAATATTGTCTTACCTGCAGGAGCAGCCCACAGAGACATTTGACCTGTCTGTTCCCCTCCTAACTTTTTTCTGTGCTTTCAGATTTATGGAACAAGTGATTCCCTGAACACAGAATGACATTTGGTAGGGAAGCTGGTCCCCATTGATGGTTCCACACGCTGGAAAATCTGACCCTGGGCCAGAAGTGCAGAGCAAAAATGCTTATTTCATCACAGTAACAGTGTATGGGCAGATTTAATTGCAGTTCTGCTTGTACTTCTGCATCCAAGTGGACCCTGTTCCCATAAGGGAAATATCCTTCTTGTTGGTTGGACATTCCTTCTCCCTTTTCCTTTGCCAGACTTGAAGGTAATTTGTTTTCCAAGTTTTCTCAGACTTGGCACTCTGAACTCCCCCTGTTGGTTTTAACACTGACTTTGGGGTTGTATTGAACCCCAGGTTGAAACCAGTCTCAGGTTTTACCTTTCATGTTGTGCCTGTGCATCTCTGGCTCCACTTTCCCAGCTCAACCCCATATCAACATCATCCCAGCAGATTTGCTCAGTGACCCAGGATGTTGTGGCTGTGGCCAGTCACTGTCACAGTCCCTACCCCACCCACCATGTGCATTCAATATTAAAAACATTTATAGCAATTCAATGGATTGATTGATTGGTCTGAACTGATTCTTGAAATTATCCTTTAACTGAGCTCAGAAGTTATCAACAACTTTGTGGTCTGGAATGATCTAGGAAATATTTCTCTCTTGCTTTGAACCAAAATCAAACTGTTGAAAAAATCTGAGTATTTTTGTAAGAAGGTAATTATAAAAAAAGTAAAATAAATAAAAGCAAGCTGTATCTGTGTAATATTTAAATTTCCTTCCTAATGCCTACCTTAACTCTGCCTATGGACTTGTTATTTTGAGAGATTGCTGTTTTATCTGGGGCCTTTAAATCTCTACAAATACAAAAATTTTTGCCTCGGGGAGGAGTCCTTTGCTGTAAAGTGAACAGTATGTAATTGAGATTACATATTGAGACATGAAGTTTTCTTACTAATGTAACAATGTTTTCTCAATGTTTTTCTTATGGTTTAGAATATCATGATAAATCAGTTTTTAAATAAAATCCATCATGCATGGACAAAAGATGTCTTTCAAATCACATAAAGTCTGCAATTACATCAAGGGCATGTTTGAGTTCCCGTGAGTAACTCTGTGACTTTAATTATGAAGGGGTTTTTTTGTACCAGAAGCACCCAAAAGTCAGAATGAATTTATCTGCACAACATGGATGAAGTATCACCTAGCACAAACATCAGGAAGGGCTTGAGAAAATATTGCAGTTGCAGTGCAGACTTAGGCAGCCCCAGGTGAAAAACATGGTAATGGGGCTTTGCAGCTACAGGCTTCACACATGACTTGATCACCCTGTTTGAGGTGTGCATATCTAGGCTGCATTCCTGCCCCTCAGCTGCATCTGTGAGCTGGATGTCTCCATACATCCTCCTGAACAAACACTGAAAGCCAGTCACAGTCACAGGTCGCTCAGTGAAATTAATCACAAGACTGAAGGGATGAAATTGATGGCTATAAACTGTTCAGAAGGATCAGGAAAGAAAGTCAGGGGCAGGTTGTCTTCTATGTAAAAAAAAAAAAAAAAAAAAAAAAGAAGTGGATCGATTGCAAAGAACTGTATTAGAAAAACAGTGATGGACAGCTGAGAGCTGCTGGGTACAAAACTAGAGGCCAAGCCAAAAAAGGAAACCTCATGGATGGTATGTACCACAGGCCACCCAAACAAAAGATCTAGGATGCTGATGAAGTTTCTTTCTTCAACTACAGGTGCCATCATATTCACAGGCTCCTGTGAGAAAACATCAGTCAATCTGACATCTGCTGGAAATGTGGCACAGAAAGCCAGGAGTTATCCAGGAGACTCCTAGAGCATGCTGAAGACAATGCTGGATATTTTTATACAGGTGAAAAAAAGTCCAACCAAAAGAGAAGCACGGCTTGACCTGTTCTTGCCAACAAAATATAACTAATTGAAGATGTCAAGAATGGTGGTAACCTGGGCTGCTGCCTGAGTCCAGACCTATCACAGATTTGAGGGATATGGGCCAGGCAAACCAGAGAGACAAGATATTTAATTTAGTAAACATTCAGTTGCTTAAGAAAACAGGATACAAATCCTCTTGGAAACTGCTTTCAGGGGTTGAGGAGAAGGACAGGCCTGAAAGTTATTTAAGGACATTTGTCCAATGGAGCAGGTACACTTCATTCCCACACGTAAGAAAGCTGGCTAGGAAGGTATAAGACCAATCTGGCTGAGTAAAGACCTTGTGGTCAAACTGAAGTGCAAGAAGTAAATGCACAGGCAGTGGAAGCAGGGACACATACCCTGGGATGAATATAGGATGCTGTCCAGGTGTGTAGGGATGGAATCCAAAAAGCTGAAGTACATCTGTATACTGAATGGGGCAAGGGGTGTGAAGAATAATGAGGGCTTCTGTAGGTACACTGGTCAGAAAAGGAGGACCAAGTAAAATGGGCCCCCAAATAAAAAAGACAGGAGATTTAGTGACTACTGGCATAGCAAAGACTGAGGTACCCAACAAATTTTTTTGCCTCAGTTTTCACTGGCAGTCTATCTTTCTCATCTCCTAAGTCTGTGAAACTCAAGGCATAAACCAGGGGAACAAAGTCCTTCCCCTACTGTAAGAAAAGATCAGGTTCAAGACCGTCTGAGGAACCTGAACATACACAAATCCATGGCACCTAAGGGGATTCATCCCAGGGTCTTCAGGGAATTAGCAGATGTAGTTACAATACAGATATCATTTAATATTTTCATCAATAACATTGTGGGATCGAGTGCACCCTCCGTAAGTTTGTGGGTAATGCCGTGCTCCGTGGTGCCATTGATTCACTGGAGGGAAGGGACACCATGAAGAGGGACCTGGACAGGCTTGAGAAATGGACCCATGTGGACGTCGTGAAGCTTGACAATCTCAAATGCACAGCCCTGCACTCAGGTCAGGGCCATACCAAATATCAGTACAGACTGCAGGATGAACTCATTACAAGAAGCCCTGCACAGAAAGACTCAGAGATATGGGTGGTATATTTGGACATGAGGTGGCAATGTGCATTTGCTGCTCAGAAAACCAGTTGTATCCTGGGCTGCACAAAAAAAAAAAGCACAGCTAGCAGTTAAAGGAGGTGATTCTCTTCATTCACACCACTAATGAGACCTCACCTGGAGTATTGCATCTACCTCTGGGGTCCCCAGTACAAGAAAGTCTTGGAGGAAGCCCACAGGAAGGCCATGAAAATGATCAGGGAGCTAGAACACCTCTCCCATGAGGAAAAGTTGTGAGAGTAGTGGATATTAGGCCTGGAGAAGACAAGGCTCTGGGTAGACCTCAGTGTGGCATTTCGATACTTGAAGAGCACTTATAAGACAGAGAAAGACTTTTCACCAAGGCCTGCAGTGACAGGGCAAGAGAAAAGTTTTAGAAGTGAAAGAAGTTAGATTTAGATAAGTTCCAAGGAAGAAATTTTTCATTATGAAGGTGATGGGACACACTGGAACAAGTTGCCAAGAGAAGTTGTTAATGCCTTCAGTGGAAGATTTCAAAGCCACACGGGATAAGCCTTTGAGCAACCTGGTTTAGTGAAAGATGTCCTTGCCCATGACATGGCCTAGATAATCTTTGAAGGACCCTTCCAACACAAATCATGGTGTGACTCCATAGTGCACCAAATCATAGGAACCATAGGAAGGACCTTCCTGAAAGCACCTATCCAAACCAGAATAGGAGAAAAGGGAGTTCTTGAATTCCTGACTGAACTTTGGAAAACTTACATAGAATCATAGCATCATAAAATATGCTGAGTTGGATGGGACCCATCAGCACCATCACGTCCAACTACTGGCCATGTGCAGGACACCCCAGGAGTCACACCCTGTGCCTGAGTATGTTGTCCAAATGCTTCTTGAGCTCTGTCAGGCTGGTGCTGTGACCACTGCCCTGGGGAGCCTGCTCCAGTGCCCAAACACTCTCTGGGTGAAAAGCATTTTTCCTGACATCCAACCTAAACCTCCCCTGACTCAGCTTCATGGCCTTTCTTTGAGTCCTGTCACTGGTCACAAGAGTGAAGAGATCAGTGCTTGCCTCTCCTCTTCCCCTCTTGAGGGAGCTGCAGACTGTGATGATGAGGTCTCCCCTCAGTCTCCCCAGGCTGAACTGACCAAGTGACCTCAGTTGCTCCTCATACGGCTTCTCCTCCAGACCCTTCACCAACCTTGTGCCCCTTCTACAGATGCTCTCTAATCACTTTATGTCTTTTTTATACTCTGGTACCAAAACTGTGCACAGCTCTTGCGGTGAGAGCAACCAGTGCACAGCAGAGGGGACAATCCTCTCCCTTGCCCAGCTGGTGACGCTGTGCCTGATGCCCCCCAGGACAGGGTTGGCCCTCCTGGCTTCCAGGGCACTGCTGGCTCATGTTCAACTTGCCATCGACCAGGATACCCAGATCCCTTTCCTTGGCACTGCTCTCCAGCCTCTCATTCCTCAGTCTGCACACACAACCAGGATTGCCCTGTCTCAGGTGCAGATTCCAGCATTTGCCCTTATTAAACTTCATATGGTTTGTTATTGCCCATGTCTCTAATTTGCCAAGATCTCTCTGCAGGGCCTCTCTGAACTCAAGGGAGCTGACAGCTCTTCCCAGCTTAGTGTCAATGACCAACTTAGTATTCCTTTGAGCCCTGCATCCAAGTTGTTAATGAAGATGTGGAGAATTGGGTGAGGGTGGAGCCCTGCTAAACCCCACTGCTGACAGGCTGATGTTACCCCAGTCACTCTAACTCTTTGTGCCTGATGTGTGAAAACCAGTCAGGCTGACATACCAGGCCCTTGGCTCCCTGCAGAAGGGAGTGTCTGATTGCAATTACCCTTCTTTTCCTCAAGACAGAGGAGGTCTTGATGTGGGGTACAGATGGTGTTGGCTTAGGGGGCCCCTCTATCCCAGAAGGGCTCACCTCATCAGTTGTCTGGCCTTCTCCTTCCAGGGCCTCATTCCTGTTGTAGAAGGTGCCAGTTCTACTTGTTATGTTTTCAGAAGGAGAAGGAAGCTTCCTCCTGGTCCAGCACTTCCAAATATCTCTGTCCACTGTATTTAAATCTATTCTGTTACCAGAAGGATCAAGAAAATCACTACCTGTGCTCCTGATCTTTCAATCAATCAGCCCAAGGCCAATTGGTATTTAATAAATGGTCTGTTAGCTTTACAACTTTTTTAAAGGGGAAAATAGAAGAAAGACATAATTTTGTTTTTACTGAGCACATCATAATATTTGAAGCAATGATTTCTTTTTTTAAGTAAGTTCACCCATTAATTAAAGGAATTAAACTTATTTCTCCCTCTCTTCTCTACCTGAAAACCTTTGCAAGATCTCTTTCCACTTCCTTCTTTGCTTAGCCTAAAATTAACTATTGTTGTAAAAAACAAAATTTTAAAAGTCCAGATAGACAGTCAAAATTTTGGAAGACCAGGAAAAGGAGCTTTTAGGAGAGCACGTGGAGTGTTCCAGGAATGTGCTGCTACATCAGGTGTTTGGAAGTAGGCTAGAGGCCTAGCCTAAATTCAGGAAAATTCATTTGCAAAGGTTCAAAAGAATTTAAAGGTAAAGGAACTAGAGACTCCAAGTGATTAGAATGTATTAAGATACAGAATTTGAAGGGAATATGTATGCTACAGAATTATCACCCAGAAACCTCTCCCCAGTGGTGTGTATCCTTCCCAAGAGATTCACTTTTGTGCAAATGTAGTTGACAACTGAAATTCACAGTTGATTCAGGAGGTGAAACCATCACAAAATATAGCATCAGGACAAAAACAAATCCACACCATCTTCTGGTTTTATCCTCTCCCACATGATGTTATTCTGCTGGTTGTCCTCCCTTGAAAAAAACCTCTCTGAAATGCCACCACATCTCTTGACTGTCTTTAAGTATACCCCAGTCAAGATAATGTAGTACCACTGAGAAGTTCATAAACCTGACTCCACCATCATCAATACTTCACAAGACAGTGTATGATATTTTATTATCAAAAGATAAAATGAAAGAAGCCAAAAAACCAAATTTACAATCACATGAATCAATCACCTGGGACTCTGATTCTTTCCCACAGTGTCCTACAAATATTCCAATATTACTGTCCAGTTACTATCAAACTCATCTCAAGAAAAAATCCTTTTTATGTGTATTCAATTTATCCCACATCACAATAGTCATACATTGGAAAAAGCCATGCCATTTGCTTCTCTCGGCAGTTCTGAAGAGAAAATTGTATGCTTAACTCACTTGAATGACTTGAATTATTTTATTAAAGAAATGCCTGCAGCTTTACATCTGTTTTTTCATCACAAAAACATGTTTTTAGTTTTAAATAAAACATGATTTTATCTTGTTTTTCTTTTTGTAAAACTGCTGATTGTGGCTGGCAAAATTCCTGAATAATAATGTAAAAGTAAGCAAAAAAATTAACACTACCTTTAGATGAGAACATACCAATGAATATGTTTGCCTACTGTTCAGTGAGAAAAGAAGCATTTGGAATACAGTTAATTAAAATATTAATACAAAGGCATAGAAAACCCAGAGGGACAGAGAAGCAACTTATATATGTTATTCTGGTGCTTTAAACATAGCTAATTATTTAAGAGAGCTGCTTTACAGGTTAAAGTTTCTGGTAAAAAAATGTTTCTTTTACTTGTTACCAAGTCTTACGGGAGATAAATAGGACGCTGTGTCCAAAGGTTTCATTATTTTGAAGAGATGAAGTCGCGTTATGGAAAACAACTCCTAACCCAGATACAGAGACGACTGACTACCTTGTGTTACTTGCATCTTTTCAAAGCTAATTTACGCTAAGATAAGGTCTCGAGATTACCCCCATTTTTCAACAACTCGATGAAAAACCCTCTCGGAGACGTGTATCCCATGTCACTGAGACAGTGGTGTCAGAAGCAAAGTTTTAATACAAAAGGAGAGAGAAAAAATTTAAGCTCCAGCTCTACGTGCAATCCCCAAACTCGGGGATTACTGACTTCCCTGAAACTCATTTCAAGTCTCGCTTGAAAGAAACGCCGCAAGGCAGAAATATTCTCTGTCCTCAGCAGGAATGCTCAGAAAGGGGGTGCGGCGGTGCAGGAATTTTTAAGAAAAATCGACTTTTTTGCAAGGGAAGAAACACAGGGCGGGCGGCGGGGAGCGGGGTAGGGGGCGGGGCCGGNAGAGCGCGCCGGCCACGGGCGGCGTCAAGAAGCCGCACCGCTACCGGCCCGGCACGGTGGCGCTGCGCGAGATCCGGCGCTACCAGAAGTCCACGGAGCTGCTGATCCGCAAGCTGCCCTTCCAGCGCCTGGTGCGCGAGATCGCGCAGGACTTCAAGACCGACCTGCGCTTCCAGAGCTCGGCCGTCATGGCGCTGCAGGAGGCCAGCGAGGCTTACCTGGTGGGGCTCTTCGAGGACACCAACCTGTGCGCCATCCACGCCAAGCGCGTCACCATCATGCCCAAGGACATCCAGCTGGCCCGCCGCATCCGCGGAGAGCGCGCATAAAGAGTCCCCTGCCGCAGCCCTTCCCGGCCAGGCACGGATCAAACGCACACGAACCCAAAGGCTCTTTTAAGAGCCACCACATGCACAATTAAAAGAGCTGTGGCACTGGTATGAAATGAATTCATTTTCAGTTGTTGGAGAAGGGAGCCTTTATGTTCTGGGGGCTTATCTATATATGATTATTGAGCTCTTATTACTCTTATCATCTATCGAAGTAGCTGTTAAGTTTCCTTTTCCTGGTAGTGTGAGGTAACACTAGAATCTGTGATGAGATTGAGGACTTATACTTATTTTCGAGCCAGTTATATTTTTAAAGTGTGTTTTTCTCCCGGGATAACTGCAGCCACAGTAGTTTATGTATTCGCTCTTTGCTAAGAGTTGTGTCGTCAGGCACAGCCACAGGGATGTAAAATTTGTACTACTTGAGACTTTGCTTATCCCCTTTATTGTATTTTCACATTCCTTACCTCATAGCCCTCACCTACTGTTCATGAAACACACGTTACTGTCTGCAAAACCTCGAGGATTAATGTAAATGAAATATAGAACCTTACGGGGGTTTATAAAATAATTTTTAATATGCAGGAGCTCAGTACAATGAGACTTAGTAAAAAAAAAAAAATCTGGGAACACCCATAAGGGGGCAGCAGGGACTAAGAAATCACTTTACATTTATGCTATTTAGTTCCTCAAGCCGTTAGCAAGTTGTTAAAAGAGTTTATTGAAATGAATTAACAGGTGAGTGCTCTATTAATATTTTAAGGCATTTGTTTTAAAATTCATTTTTCAGATCGGGAAGACCTATATAACAGTTAAAAAGAGAAAAAGTATCTCCCTATAAATTCAAGAAAGCAGCTAAACTTTTTGAACTCCCTCCTTTCAGAAATGACTGCCTGAGTTACAGTACATAGGAGGTGGATGGCACAGGGAAGGTGCCCTGAAAAGGCCTTGCAATTGAAGCAACTCTTACATAATAGGCAAAATGAAGGCTTATCAGAAAATAGAAGGGCTCAGTAGGGAAAACAATATGCAAGCCTAAAAAAATACAAATAGGATCTAAGTAGGGTTTTATATTTGTATTACTTCTCTAAATAAAAGTTGTTTTCGGTATTTGGGATTAAACAGTCATTGTAAGGGTACAGAATACACTGAGAAAAAAAAATTAGGCTGAAATAAAGAAATTAAAGCTCTTTTGCTGAAAAGGTGGGTGGCTCTTAAAAGAGCCTTTGGGTTGAAAATGTCAGACGAGGGACGAGAAGCCCTACTTGGAGCTGGTGTACTTGGTGACAGCCTTGGTGCCCTCGGACACGGCGTGCTTGGCCAGCTCGCCGGGCAGCAGCAGCCGCACGGCCGTCTGGATCTCCCGCGACGTGATGGTGGAGCGCTTGTTGTAGTGCGCCAGGCGCGACGCCTCGCCGGCGATGCGCTCGAAGATGTCGTTGACGAAGGAGTTCATGATGCCCATGGCCTTGGACGAGATGCCCGTGTCGGGGTGCACCTGCTTCAGCACCTTGTACACGTAGATGGAGTAGCTCTCCTTGCGGCTCTTCTTGCGCTTCTTGTCGCCTTTCTTCTGCGTCTTGGTCACCGCCTTCTTGGAGCCCTTCTTGGGCGCGGGGGCGGACTTGGCCGGCTCGGGCATGGCAGCAAGCGCAGGTCCCTCACTCGCTCTCGACACTGCGACCAGCAGCGCACAACAGCGCCTCGGCCTCGGCAGCCGCCTTTATAGCAGCGCTGCCGGCAGCGCCGCATCGCGATTGGCTGGGCCTCGGCTCCGCGCAGGGCGCCGGGATTCGCTATTGGACACGACCCGAGCCGCTCTCCCATTGGCCGTCGAACAAGTCCTCCCTCGCAGCCAATCACAACGGGCGCTGCCGCTCCGGCCCAGTTGTATATAATGCAGGCGGGGCTCTCGCTCAGCGCTCTCTCGGTGTTCCCGGCTTTCCTGAGCTCGCTGCTGCCGCTGCTGCTGCCGCCGCCGGTGCCGCTGAAGTCGCTGCCATGTCCGGGCGCGGGAAGCAGGGCGGGAAGGCGCGCGCCAAGGCCAAGTCGCGCTCGTCGCGGGCCGGGCTGCAGTTCCCCGTGGGCCGCGTGCACCGGCTGCTGCGCAAGGGCAACTACGCGGAGCGCGTGGGCGCCGGCGCCCCGGTGTACCTGGCGGCCGTGCTGGAGTACCTGACGGCCGAGATCCTGGAGCTGGCGGGCAACGCGGCCCGCGACAACAAGAAGACGCGCATCATCCCCCGCCACCTGCAGCTCGCCATCCGCAACGACGAGGAGCTCAACAAGCTGCTGGGCAAGGTGACCATCGCGCAGGGCGGCGTGCTGCCCAACATCCAGGCCGTGCTGCTGCCCAAGAAGACCGACAGCCACAAGGCGAAAGCCAAGTAAATGCTTTGTGTGGCTCATCGTGAAACAAAGGCTCTTTTCAGAGCCGCCCACATTCGTCATAAAGGGTTGTGTCACTGCTGTTTTAGTTCTCTACTGAAAGGAGACTGATTCGTAAGTTTGTATTTAACTCTTTAATTATGCTCTTCTCTATTTCCTTCTCCCTGTTCTTTGACCGAGACTATTTACTGCTAGTTTCATTTTTCTTAAAACAACTTAGGTTTTTTTCACCGAGATTTTTTGTCATTTCATGCCTTTTTAGATTTCTGAATTTTTTTTTTTTCTCGACTGATGTATTGATATTTTCAGTGTGTTGACAGTGGGAATTAGGAGTTTTATAGTGGTGTGGATATCACTTGTCCTGGTCAGCTTGCTCCGACTTTGCTGTAAGTGCTCTGTTCACTACGTGTTAGAGGACAACATTAGAGACTTTTTAGCAATCTGGGTTGTTCCTGTTTCCTTTAAGAGTACTAAGGAGAAGGTAGTCACTGTTGTACCATCGTGTTTCAGAGAAGGGTGAATGGGAAAGGAAGTAAAACTTGCAGATTTAAACCCCTAAATAGCATAACATGGTCCTGGTGGTAACCTTGAACAGATTTCTCAACAGGAGGCGTGTTCCTAGCCTCGGGCTCCTGATTGCTCCACTTTTGGTGCCTTTTAACACTTCACATGAAGCTGTCCCATCGGCTTTCCTTAGCAGGATTGCAGAGCACTGGGAAAGGTTTCAGGCAGGTACGAGTTGCCCGTGTTCCCAAGGAGCGGCTGATGTGATGTACCGATACATTACCTGTGATGGTCACTGCATTACACTGGAAAGAGCACAGTCTCTTTCGATTTCGTTTTTGTGGCACTGATCACTGGATCCACGCCCTCTTCTCCCTGTACTACGGGGAGTTTCGGGCCGGCATTTGTTTTTGGGAGAAAGAGTCAGTCTTACAAAAGCTACTGGTATTACAGTGGGTCACAGCGTTCCTTTTAATTCTCTGGTGCTGTCCTGCTGGCTTCTAATTTCCTTCTGGCTTTATTTGGGCTCCTCCTGGCTTATTTTTCTTTATTGCTCATGGCTGCAGAAGCCAGCAGCTTCTTGGCTTCATGAGTGTTTGCCCTGCAGTTTGTGGTACTGCAGCAACAGGAGCAGTTTTCAACAGGGCCATGTCTCTCCCCATCTCCATCCTCCAGTACAGGGAAAAGTAGACGTGACTAACATCTGTGACCTGGTGTTCACTGAATTTAATTTCCCTAAAACTGAGCCAGTGATAAGCTCACCCTTCCACAGGGGAAGGAGGTCTACATATGTTTGTTCCACATAACAAAATAGTTTTCTGCATCTTGGATTCTAGAAAACAATGGGAAAGACTTCTAAGAAAAACGGTGTGTGCATCACCTCGATGTTGTGTGACTGGAATAAAATCCTAGTTTGTTTCTCAAGAAACTTCCAACAGAACGATTTTGTGGGTTTATTTTCCTTACAAAAGAATTCTCTGGTATTAAGGGTACAGTGGTAATAGTCAAGAAAATATATGTAATTAACAATTATTGTTGTCATTCCCCTCATTTTTTTCTGCTAAAGAATGTGCTTAGTCATTATGTAGTTGTAGCTTTGAGTTACAAACGTGGGAAATAAAGCCAGAAAATAAAGATAAGGCTACGTGAAGTCTAAATTATGAAGGGCTGCAGGACCTCAAAGGTGTATTTTGCAGCCAGACACTCTTGTGAAAATGCTTTAGAGATGTGGTTTACCAAAACTGGGCTAAGAGGGCAGAACTGGTTTGAATGTATGTCTTTCCTAACAGCTGGTGTGAACAAGGGCAGCCTCCTTTGATCAGCACAGATGGCCTTCTGGGTATTTTACAATAACTTGTTTATGCAACACCAGACTGGGAGAGGAAGGTGAAAATGGGAGAACTTAACAACTCTTTGAGTGGACAGATTTTTGGGCAGGGCATTACTAAGCCCCCCATTCTGCCCATTGATGCCCTCTCCCCCTGCCACCCTCTGTGCTTGAGGGCAGGAGTGTGAGAGCAGTTTGGAATAGCAGGATGCACTCTGGCACCCGGCTGTGCCTTTAAAAAAAGGAATCACATACGAATTTGTGGTTGTTTGGGTTTTGTTTTTTTTTTTTTTTTCCTTAGTTGTGCGTTTTGCAATTGAATCTTTTGATTTGGGCACGTTAAGGAGGAGAGCTGGGCTGAAGCTGAGTTATCCCATTGCTGCATAAATACAGCAGTGGGGGAGTGTGGGAGGTGAGTAACAGAGTGGATGGTTCCCACCAGGAACCATCATTTCTCCATCAACAACGAAATCCTTTGTGTTTGTTGGTCAGGCCTTGACAAGCAGATATTTTCCTGCTCCCTGTCCTGGGGTCAGGGATGGTGATTTAAGGACTAATCTGCCTCTGGGAGGAGGGTGGCAGGAAAATTCATCCACAAACATCAGAGGTTTATGTCCAAAAAGGAGACAGAGGAGTCCTTTTATTTTATTCAAATAAAGGGAGCGGCCATGGGGCATTCCTCTGAGGTGTCTCAGTTTTTTATCTTACTTTCTGAATTATCTTAATTTCCCAACCACAAGTCCCTCTCTCTTTCCCCATTGGCTGAGGTACTTGAGAGGTACAGATTTCCCAGAATGCCTGATACGTAAGATTCCCCTCTAATATATAACACTCCCTCTTAATTTTTAATTCTTATGGAATTTATGGTATTTCCCCAGTGTCTCTTTCACCTTTCAATATCCAGTTTCATTTACCAGCAAACCTACAGTTTGTTTGTAAAGGCTTTGTAATCTTTTTCGATTCATCAATCATTGGAATCCATCTCCATCCTATTGTTCCTTTTATATCTCAGCGCTAGTTTCATCTATCAGCAGACCCACAGCCTGTTTGTAAAGACAAATCCATCATTCCTCTCAAGGGGAAATGGCAGGGCGGGGTAACACAGGATGGAGCAGGACTTCCCAGTGGGAATGGGTGTGTTTCAGCTTTGGAGCTCAACAGGTTGTGCTACTCTGTGGCTTCCACCAACACCCTGAGCTGCAAGAGGCCCCTGGGAGCAGCAGGGAAAGGCAATGAAAAGGCTTTGATGTCTCCTGGAAGGACAGAGAAGGGCCCTGGATTTTTAAATCCAGGAACAAGATATTTCCTCTTCGGTTTCACCCCAGCCTTCCAGTTAAAGTATTTTTTACTTTACCGTTGTCAGGGTTGTAGGGTGAAGCAGAAAAGTAGACATCATTCAGTTCAGACAAAAGCTGTAAATTAATCCCAGCTCCTTTTCAGTTTCCTGGTGTTTCCCCTTGTTCTTTATCCCATGCCATTTCCTGCTGAGAAACGTGAGCTGCTGTGGTAAATCTGAAGTACAACACATACACATCTTATGAGGCTTTTCATGATATGTAAGTATCGCTTAAGGCAAAAACTCCAGCAGCTGCATATGCCTGTGAAATGTGACCTTTTCACTTCTTTCATGGGGGTTCTAGCAGTGATTTCAGAAGCCCCTGAATGTAGAGTAGAACAGACTCGGATAAATTTGGCATCCTGAGCCGGCTCAGCTGTCTGGGCACCCAGGTCTGCCTGTGATGCAGTCGGTCCAGTCTGCTGCTGCTTGGAACACAGGCAGAGGCATCTCTGTTTAAAGATGTTTTTTGATGTGTTGAAAGATTGGAGTTATGCCATTCTCATGGCATTTTTTGTCCTCTTTTCTAATTGGAATAACCTTGCTGTGTCCCTAGAGCATAAGGAAAAAAAACCAAAAACAACCAAAACTTGAACATGTGGAGTGTTCAGATTGTTTATTGTTGCAGTGGCTGCTATTTGCCACAAAAGGAAAAGAGGCTGAATACCAGAGATGTGTGCATTTCTTCTGATACCGCACAAAAGGAGGTTAATGTCCTTTCATCTGTTTGAAGTTCACATTTCAGATGTAACACTCTATGTGTGCTCTCTTCTTCTTTCAGGAATTATTTCTTCCATTTTCCTATGACTTTTGCAAGTAAAAAAATCCTTATGTAAAATAACTAGGAGTACAAGCACAAAAAGGCTGTGGATTTTATGTGGGATTAAATTCTGATTTGTTCTGTAACTCTTTTCAATCTACTTATTTTCTAGTTGTAAAATCCATAATGTTCAGAATTGCTTCCTGAGATTTTCAGTGTTAAAAATGAAAGTATGAAGTTATTTGAAAAATACCTTCTATCGTTTTTGACAAGGAGTGCTTTTGGAACAACCTCTTCGATAGCACTGCAGTCAAATAATTTGGTTCTTTGTAGCCATGAAAGAAATCTAACTGAAAACACCCTTTCCACCTACATAGGCCTCTAGCTGTGTGACCCCAGTCCCTGAGGAAAAAGCTGTCTCTGCTCCCTGTAATGATTCTTCCTTCCCCATAGGTGTGTGAGCTGGGAAAGGAGAAGTTCCCAGCTGCATTCCCATCTACCTTCAGCCCTCTCCTCCAGTGAGATTTGTGTCATGTCTTGAGCTGTGTTGTTCTGTGAGTGGCACAATCCTTAGACCGAGTTTAGGAACCTGAAGTCTCAATTTCTTTCTTTTACTATCCAACCCGGGCAGATTTTCACCACTGGCCAAAAACATTACATCAAGGTGTGTGTAACACCAAATATTTTTCCCTAGCTGCAGTTAATGCTTTCTCACGCAACTGTAATTGTTTTCAAATATAACATTTCCTATTTAAAATGGGAAAGAAAGCCTCTGAGAAACTAACACTGAAATATTTTCTTTTGGGTGTCTGGTAATTATATTCTGTGGCCATTAAAATAAATTATTTCAGGTTTGAGAGCAGATATTGCTTTACTTCATTAATAAAAACAAAACAAGCATTAAAAAAAAACCAAACAAAACCCCGCCAAAACCAAAAACCCTCAAAAATCCCACAAAACTTCAGCAGAAAATTGCTAAAGAGAGTCTGTGATTTCACCTTTTGATCCAGGTGTTTGGCATCTATTTCTCATTTCTGATACACTGTTCAGTGAGTTAGCTAGTCTTAAAAACGAGATTCACTTAATAAATTATAAAAATAATTTAATATAAACAAAAGACAATTAGGAGACAAAAGAAATAAAGCAAAGGGTTAAAACGGCCGGGTGCCCTGGTGGGTTACCAGGAACACACCTGGTATCTCAGGAGTGTCCTTTTTATCCCCTCTTTGCTGTGAGAGGTTAATGCATATTCAAGCATGTCCCCTC